GGGAGCTCCAGCCTCTCCGAGATGGAGCGGGGGTGGCGCCAGGCAGGGGATGAGAAGCAACGCGGGGACATGGGGGAGCAGGGTGGCCAGTTGGGGGCTGCAGGGGCTTGGCGATTTGTCAGTGCCAGCCGCCAGAAGCAGTCGTTAGAAGGAGTTATGGGGGGGCCCGGCCGAGGCAGGGGACGAGCACCCCAATAAGATAGTGGTCTAGTTTAAAGTCTAGGGGAAGAACTTGCTTCATCTAAGAGGCAGGCATATTTGAGAAAATTGTGGCTTAGAATTTTTCAGTAAAGTACAGTAAACCGAATTGTGAGCTCCCTGCACCTCTTTGAGCCTGTGCTAATCGCCCAGTTATGCAAGTCACTTGGGCCCAGGAATTAGAATCTGCTAAATTGCTGTCAGCACACATACAGACATCTGTATATTTATGTACTACCCCAGTTTTGAGGTCCGAAACTCTGAATGCCAAAATCGTTACTAGCAATGGAGATACAATTATTCTTCATGAAGAAAACTGAGATTTCCCTAGGGTGGTTCAGAAGTAGAAGGGCAGGGTGCTGACTTCTTTGATTTACAGTTGCTGGGCTCCACCCAGCAATCAGATTAGAGTTTGTGTCCCCAAGTTGGCTGTGAATGGTGGATGCCATGGGATGCTTCCTAGTTCTTCTGGAAGAGACTGGAGGTGGAAGAAAATCCTAGCAGTTTTATAATATGATCCTGAACTTGAAAAGTCTGTATGACTTGACACATTTAGAAGACTGCCTAAGATTTGAAAAGAATCTGCAGAGAAAAATTTCTGCAGTTTGGATCAAGCTGTCGATATTTAGAAGTTAAAGGTAGATTTATAAATTTAGATCAAGCCCACAAAACTTAATCCATCAAATCTTATTCTAGAGCTATAAACCTGAAGGCCTAAGAAGCTTAGGTTATTTATTCAAGCTAAATGGGTAAGAGCTAGTATCTACTTCGATGCTTTGTTCTGTCTCCTATCAGTGAAAGTTTCTCAAGCAAAAAGTTTCTTTGAGAATTAGACACTGATAAATGCTCTTTTCCGAATGGTGAGGCCTCTTGAACCAAGTCATTTTATACCCTTCCTTTTCTTCTCTTCCCCCGTCTGTACAGTGAAGATAATAAAGCCCTAGGATTAAGTAACATGAGTGAAGCAGCTTGAAGATAACTGGAAAGACTCCGTTATTCTAGGATGAAATGTGAACATATCCTCATAACCCATTACACATTGTGACAAGACTTGTTAAGCACACTGTGCTCTAAACATGCTGAAGCAAATACATTAAAAAAAATGTTAAGATTGTTTCCTGAAGGCCACAAAATCCAACACAAAGTCAGATATATACTTTGGCTCTTCTTAAACCTGATGGTCATTTCATTGGCCAAAGCTGACTGTGACCCAGGTTTTATAAAAATAAACATCAAGTGTCTTCTGTATAACATGAACACCTAGAATAAAAAGATGAAAAGAGACTGTGCCAGAATAGTGTGATTTTAATTTATTCCTCATGCTTAAATTGGAGCAATAAACTGGGCATGGTGGTGCATGCCTATAATCCAGCTGCTTGGGTGGCTAAAGTGGGAAGATTACTTGAGCTCAACATAGGCAACCTGTTTAGACCCTATCTCAAAAAAAAAAAAACAGAAACAATTTCAAAGCTTTTTAAAATGGGATTTTTCTAAATCTTTAACAATAGCTATGAACCCGACTTGCTGGTTTGACTATTTTTCATGACACAAAATTTGTATACTGTGAGCCCTTTTTGTGTCATTGGTAATGGTAGGATTAGCTGGCAGTGAAGGTACAGAAAAATAGTACATTGTTCATTATTAGTAATGGAGAACAACCTAGAAGTGTGGTTACTGAATTATGCTTTAGTCATTCATATGTATATGTATGTATACATATATATATGCATATATATATATTTTTTGGGGGGTACCGGAGTTCAAACTCGGGTCCTTGTGCTTGCAAGGCAGGCGGCGGAACCACTGCGCTAAATCCCCGGCCCCCTTTAGTGGTTCTTTTAATGGCACTTTATTAAACACAGCTGATACCTGCCGTATCTACCTAAAGATAAAAGGTAAGTATTTCCTTGAGAGATTTGTAGTTTTAAAATTTACTGGGTAGTAAAGGGAAAAAATGCAAATATGGAAAGGATTTAGAAAAGAATTTCAGCTGTGTCTCGATGGAGGCGGAGTTCACCAATCAGTTGGTGTGTTCTGCAGCAGTTACATGGGTGAGGAATTACAGGTGGTTTGGTTGAGTTGGACTTGTGGGGAGTTGTTAGAAGGTTCAGGAAGGATGCTGTGAACTTTGAGCAGCAGGTGACAGGGAACCTTGAAATTGCTTTGAGTTATGTTTTGTTATTTTAGAAGAGTATTTCTAACAATAAATTTGATCCAAAAGCTTTCTAAATGAACATGGACAGTTCAGGTAGCATCTGAAAGCATGTGCCTTGCACAGCAATTGAACTTGAAAAAAAAGTTTATTGAAAGCTCTAGAAATTTTAGGAAAATAGAAATATTCATGCAACAGACTTCTGCTGAGTATCTTTCATTGTTAAGACGAGGGACAGGGAGTCAGAGATAAGATATGTCTCCATTAGGAAAAATAACAATTATAATGCAGCACAGAAATGAGTGCTAATGCAAAGGCTTGAAAATATCAAGCTCTAGAAGTATAGGATTCTGAGATAAGGTGCATATTGTCTTTCAAGTAAACAAAGGTATTGATAGAAATTAAACTAGAACCAGTTAAATGGAGCAATTGTAACTAAATTCTGTGTTTTCATTAATTCTTGCTTAAGGTTTCTTCCCCACCTCCCTCATTCTCCCAAAGCAAGCATTTGGTTTGATCATCAAACTCCTAGCTATGTAATCTTGTTCGTCATTTGTAAGGGGTGGTAATAATACCACCTGCTTTGTTAGGGTTATGATGATTAGATAAATGTTAATATCCTAACATTGCCTACAAAATAACTTCTACTTATTGTACACTTAGTAGTTCAGTTTTTTGTTTTGTTTGGATGTTTTGAGACAGGATCTTGCTGTGTAGTCAGGCTGGCTTTGAATTGACTTTGTAACCTGTGCCTGCAACCCTCCTGCCGCAGCTTCCTGAGTGCTGGGATTATAGGCATGTGCCATCACACCCACCTTTTATTTCCTTTTAATATAAAAATACTATTATTAAGTACTGAAAGGACAGGATGGTGACTGATGACTCCCAGACCTGCTCCAGTGTCCTTTGGTTTCCAGGTGTGGCCTATAGTTTATCTCTATTTTGATGTCTTCTGAGGATATCTCCAAGCCCACCGAGTTCTGCAGTGAACTGAATGTCTCCACAGTCTTACCCAAACCCAGTCTTAGTAACTTCATTCCTCTGCTCTCTCTATCTAAATGATACTGTGGTCTGTCTGGGACCACAGATAGTTGACATGCTCATCACCATGTGCTGTCCAGCTTCTGAAGTATTTTTTCTGTCCTTCACGATACTCACTGCCAGTCAGCCCCTGACCATTCATTTCACCATTTGCTTCATCTTTCTTGAATAATTTTGTTTGCATATTATAAAAATATTATTTTTAAAGAAGTGGAATAAATAGCAAAAAAATTTTTATCCTTCACTCAGGATACTTGTTGAGTGTCAAGAGGAGGCCTCACTAGTAAAGAAGGGGGCCAAACCCCAGGCCCAACATGATGGGGACATATCCTTGTGCAGACTTTCAGTCCCAGACCTCTGTGGATCTCTGCAGGAATGTTGCATCCCTTATCACTGCAACCCCAGAAAGTGCAGGATTACACCCTTTGGCTGCTGAACAGGTGACCTTGATTGGCTGAGATAAACCTGTTAAAATCCCCAACAGGAATCTGGGGACCTCTTTCCTCTGGTACTATGGGTTTAATTGTAGGAATAAACAGGTTAAACCTACAAAGTGTTGAAGTACTCCCTGGGACTATTGATTCAGACTGTTTGAGGGAAATTTAGCTTATGGTTTATTTGCATGATGTCTGGGTCTTTCAGCAAGGAGATTTTGTTGCCCAATTGATTATTCTACCTGTTGTCCAAACTAGAGCCCCTAGTCGAGAACAGATCCATGTTGAGAACAGAACACAGGTAATAAGGGATCTGGCAATATCTCTCCTGAGGAGGTATTCTTCTGGCGGTGTTACAGTCCATCAGTGCATTTATATTGTACCAGTACTGTGTCGATGTGATCGTGTTAGCATTGTTGAAATTCAGGATTTTAAATGTTTTTAGGGGCATTACTATGTCAAGGGAAAGGTAAAAGAAAAGGCAAAAGAAATGTGAGTGGCACAGAAGCCTCACTCAGCGGGACTGATGGGGACGTTCAGAGTTTAAAGTAAAAGCAAAATTCAAAATTAAAATAAAAGCAGAATTAAGAATCAAAGGGGAAAGTAAA